GTGCGATCGAAGGTGCTCCAGAACGCTCAAAGGGAAGGTGTACCGGACAGTGGTAAGGCCTGCGATGCTATACGGCAGCGAGTGCTGGCCCCTGAACAAGAACCACGAAAGGCAGCTTCACTCTGCTGAAATGGGCATGCGGCTAGACGCAACTGGATATGGTCAGGAACGAAGATGTCAGAGCGGTCATGCAGACTGCCCCTGTCCAGCTGAAGGTACGGGAACAGCGTCTGCGATGGTATGGGCATGTGCTAAGGAGGCCACAGGATCATCCGATAAGAACAGCGATGGACTTCGAAGTGCAAGGCAAGCGACCGCGAGGAGCCCCAAAGAAGAGGTGGAGAGACGTGATCAAGAAGGATCTAAGTGAAGTCATGGCCACGAGCAGAAGATGCCCTGGACAGATCAAAGTGGCGACATCTGACAAGAACTGCGGACCCTACGACCACGCGGGATGGATTAACGCGGAGGAGAGGCAAAGATTTTGTGCCGTTCACGTTTTACATAGCGATCACTCAAATTCTAAAGCAGATAGCTATCACCCAAATCGAAGGATGTGGGGTGGCCGCGCTCGCGAAATCGCGCCTGTCCCACGCAGCCAAAAAAGCCGATACACGCGCTGTCGTCAATGTGTGAATGGCTGCTACAGATTAAGGATTACCTCGAGCCAGTCGATTATGGTCGTATGAGTGATGCTCACTTCTATGTTGTCGTTGATCAAATTCTCTGAAATGAGTAGAATTCATTGGCAATTATTGGCAATGTTTAGGCTACTTCATTGCCGCTCAAACACGGTAGCCACCACGGAGATTCCTCCCGTGGGCTGGCAGCAGCCGCGAGCACGTACATTGAAAGTGGATGTTACGAAAAGAAATCGTTGCCCAGAGAGCTGAAAGCAGAGGTGACAGTGTGCGCAAAGGTCGAGAAAAATTAAGAGAAAACGTTCCAAATGGTACCCTTCTCGCCCTTTAATTTCCGCTTTGGGCACATGGTAGCCGATATCACGCCACCAAGCCTTATCCCTTAACTGGGCGCATTACCTAGAAAACTCAAAG